TGGAAAGATGTTTTATTTTCCATATATGGGGAACAATCATCCCAAGTGACTTTCATATTTTTCAGAGGGGTTGAAACCACCAACCAGATTATTATTCACCATCATTAACCATATATTAACCATTATTAACCATATATTAACCATTGAAATCCCATTAAAATCCCATATGTTACCCATATATTCACCGGCTGTGGCACCGACATCAGTGAGTTTCTGGTGAGGTGGAATCGTCAGCCAAGAGGAGATGCAGAACCCCCAGGCGGGGTAAAAAAAATGACGACCGGTCACTTAGACGACCGACTTAGACGAAAGAAACCATACCCGGCCTGGTAAACATACAAAAAACGATGGAAAATCACCATTTTTAATAGGAAAATCACCATTGTTAATAGGAAAATCACCATTGTTAATGGGAAAATCACCATGCTACTAATGGGAAATCACCATGCTATTAATGGGAAACTAACATAACTATGGAAAATCACCATGTTTATTGGGTAAACTCACTATAAATGGCAATTTTCAATAGCTATTTTGACATAACCAGAGGGTAAAGATAATGTCAACCTTGGATTAATAAACCCCAAACGGATCCAAACGGCTGTTTAATTGATTTTAATTGGGGGGGTACCATTTAAGTATTGGATTATGACTATTGGAGGGGTGGTTGACGTTACTAATCATTACTAAACGTATGGGAAACCATACTATGATACTATCATAGAATTGGATGATGGGAAAATTTACAGGAAACCCTATATTTGATGGTAAAAACAATGGTTTCCGGTTAAGATTTTCCCTTCAACCAATCCATTGATGCTAAGCTATACTAAGCATGTTCTCTCGGCTGTTCTTTTTGGCTTCTTCCGGTTCTGAAAGCTGCGTTGCGCTTTGCTTCCGGTTGAGTTTTCACCGGTTTTTCGGGCCCAGGGCCCAGGGCCAATGGAACTATGGGGTATGTTGACGTATTTATTATGGCTCCATATGGAGACTGAATGGGTGAAAAAATGTTGTATATCAACAGAAAGGTGAGACTGAGGCGGACCTAGTCTGACGATGGAGAGAGGGAGAGAGAGAGAGCGAGAGAACAAACAAGTGAATGTGCAACAAATCGTGTGGCAGAACCAGCAATATTGCGGAGATGTGATGATATGTGCATGTTTTTGCAAGATAAGCGAGATGGCATGTATCAAGTACAACAGGTACTAATACTCCGGAAAAGTTTGGGTAAGTGCATGGTGATGTTTATAGAAAAGGGCGTACAGAGGAGGTGAGGACGCTCACCCAGAAGGCTAATCGTCCATGGCTATCGTCACGGGACCACGATATCAGCCGGCAGGTAATGTTCAGATGTGCTTGGCGTATGCAACAAACTCCAATGACTCTACATTCAGGGCTGTGAAAAACCCAGACATGCATAGAAACTCCATATTTGGGCTGTATATTGGATAATTAGATAGATAGATAGATAGATAGACAGATAGATAGATAGATAGATAGATCGATAGATCGATCGATAGCTAGATAGATAGATTCATGATATTTGGATATATTTGGCAGGTACTTTGACACTGTAACGGAAAACGGCCGTCGATTTTCCCTCTGGCAGGTGCAGTTTATTCTCATTGCCATGGTCGATGCTCAGCACCTCGATTTATCGAGTTTGGGGGTGATCGTGGGTGATCTGCCATAAAACTACTGGGAAAATACTAATATCTATAGATTCTTTGGAAATCTTTGGCAGATGTTGGACAAATCTTGGGTGCTTATGTTGGTAAATTCCAGGTTATCTCGCACGCATAGGAGATCTTAAGGTGACGGTTTATGAGTTGCAAATAGTTGCAAACCCTGTGATTTTTTCGCGGTTTTTGGATAGTATCACTGACATGTACATAGGATGACCCTGACTAGATATTCTGTGTTCTCCCAGTGAGGCGATTTTGTGGGTATAGGTCGCCCCCCAAAAGATCATCCTTGGCAAAAATGGTCGTTGGGAGCTATAGCTATGGATATCCCATGGTATTCGGTCCTCCTGATCAAGAATTGGGAACCGTTGGGAGCTTTTTGCATACATCGATTTGGGTTAATACCTGGGTGATGAAACCATGGTTAATGATGGTTAATAATGGTCAATAGTGGTTAATTATCTGCTTGGTGCTTTGGATTTTTTATTTTCCCCAGCAGTTGGTCATAATCATCCCAACTGACTCATTTTTCAGAGGGGTTGAAACCACCAACCAGAAAAACAACTTAACACCATGTCACAATGATGGTCAAGAGGAATCACAGCAAAATCACGTGATATATTTGGTCTGTAAAAATTGAACATTGCCATGTCAGTTTGAAACATTCCTCCATACAATTGAGGTCGGATTGTTCCGGGATTCATCTGCCATCATTCCAGAATTGGTTTCAGGGAAAACCTGCCGAACCCCCCCCACATATTTGGAAGATTTTGGAAGTAAAGAACTTGCTGCTTTCCTGTTAGGACTCTTTAGGGAAAATCCTGATTTCTGCATTGAAATAGAGTAGGAATAGTATAGATGAGTATGCTTCGTATCCCCATCATAATCATAGTATATCATCCCATATCCTCCATGTATAGTATATTTACCTACAAAACTGGGTGATTTTGTTCGGGCAAATGTTGGTAAATATTCCAGCACCATGGTTCGCATATGGATTATGATGAAGGTCAGCAGAGGATGGGCCCCCCCAGTTATAAGTTGGTTTATAACCCCATCTAAATATAGCTAATCAGTATCATACACTATTGTTATTGTAGTTTTGTGCACCAACTTAGCTAAATCATAGAAAATATCATCCCTAATATGCTCCATGTATTACTATATATTTAATATATTTACCCATCATAATCATAGGAGATTTTTACCCATATTTACCCATAGTCTCCTTAAGCTGTCCCCATGGGTTTTTCATTTTCGAGCAAGCCTTGACGCTGAGTCTCAACGGCTGCGATCCAAATCCACGGGCGTTGATCCAAGCAGTGAGGACGGATGGATGGATGGAGCTAAGGAGCTAAGGAGCTAGGGATAGCTAGGGCTTTTCATGATGTTTCCTATCTGGTTATTATGGTTGGTGGTTTGGAAGTTTGGAACAATTTTTTTTTGTTTCCCAGAAAAATTGGGAATAATCGAAAGTCATCATCCCAACTGACTAAGAACTCATATTTTTCAGAGGGGTAGGTCAACCACCAATTAGCCTATATTTCCGGAAATTTCCATGGTAAGCCCAGATCGCCAAGGAACTACTTATAGAGTTTCCCAACCATCTGATCGTGAATCAAATGACATGGGAGTAAGCCATGGGTTATTAATGGTAATAGCGGCAACAAACCAAGGGTTATGATGGCTGCTATAATGGTTACGAGAATTGCGGGGAGTTTTCCGGACCCATATATGGTCGAAAATTGACAGGAAATCCCTGATGGATTCCCCCGCGGCCACCCACTCTATAGGAAGTCATTAGTAACCTACAAGAAATCCATACTGTCATACTATGCGCCATTGCACATATCTGAGGATCCATTGGATCCCTGATGATCAGGATTTGCAGGGGATCATCCCAATCATGACTAAACATCATGTTTATTTTGATTATACGCGTGCGATGGCTGGATAATTTATATATATATATTATATATATTACATATTTATATGTATGAATCATATATATATATATACATATTCATATCCATACATAGCAACAGTAAGTGGCCAATGAATCAAATATACGTAAAACATCATTCGATTCATTAGATGCATCCCATGGATGGAAAATGGGTTGTTTATTCCACATGCAACTGTTAGCTACCACTGGGTAGTTGTTTTGTTTTTTTGGGCCAAGATTTGCCACGAATCATTGCCATCACAGCTGGGAACATATGTTCATCGGGATCCAACCCAAATGTGACCCCGGCAACAAAGGATTGAATCAGGGCTTATGAACCCCACCAAGCACTACTAACAAGGTCTTATGAAGCATAGCCCAACCTAACCCGGACCAGTTGCGAGTTAGGGAAGAAACATGCGAATACCTGGTGTTGTAGTGTGTATAATGTGCATCTCATTGCACGCAATGGTAGAGGAGGTTTGGATACCTGACCCGGCTGAGACACAACTGAGAAACAAGGACCATGAGAAGGGTAAAGGTGTAAGCAAGACAAAATCTAAATACACATGACTGTGGAGAGACATGATTGGAACATATTGGAAAAACACCTGGTGCGTAAGATCGAAACTTTGATTGTTTTAGTGACTTCAACACACTTGCACCTGGTTTTGGCCTTGGGTTTTCACAAAGTTGTCACCATGTGTTCATTGGATTGTGGACCTGAGTCAGGGGCAATTATTTTTTTCCTAGATGAATTGTTTTTTTTCGACATCATTTCCCTGAAAAAAACCTAAGTAGCATTGATTTTTTGCCGAAAGACGGTGCATTTTTGGACCCAAGGCTAGGCTTGGTGGAGCCCTAACAGCCACTTTTCCGGTTCTTGATGATTCAAATAGCCATGTTGCGTTACTTAAAGGCTGATCAATCGCAACTGTTTTGGTTGAATATATAAGATTATATAAGTTTGTATTCCCTTAAATGTGTTTTCACACCCAAGGCCAAACACTTCCCCAATCTGAAAAATCTTGTTCCCTACTTAGTGCACTTAGTATTAGAAGCAAGGATGCCTGATGGGGTGCATTACTGATGAATCCCGGTAGGTTGATCCTCATACTACCCTCTGGTAATGACCAACAGTTTGCTATTGAAAATTGCCATTTAGTTCGTGGATTTACCCATTGATAGCATGGTGATTTTCCATAGTTATGTAAACGTTTACCAGAGGGTAACTGGGATGCACAGCCAAGTATGGATTGGGTTTCCTTCTGCGATTAGGTCTATACGTTACTGATAGTGAGAATAATGATCAACAATGACTAGTGAAGATGATACTTGTATATGGAATATAGTTGTGCCAAGGCATGTTCATGTTTTTTGTGCCACCTTTCCGCAGCGTTTTGGGCTTAGCACTCTCTGGGCTTAGTACTGTTTGGGACGACGGATCGGGCCCCGATCGCGGGCTGCACCAAGTGACCTTTTCACTTTGGCAGCTAACGCATCAAAGCAGGTGGGGTAATCAACTCCTGGGATTTTGGGGCTACCATGGCTACCATCTTCCCTGTTCTCAGACCATGTTTAGTTGGGCAAGTTGACCTGGGATCGCAGGGTGGATGCCTTTCGACGTTTTTGAGGTTTTTGCATCCGAAGACATTGAAGATCATTCAAGATTTTAAGTTGATTAGTATTGAACATTGAACATTGAACAACATTGAACAGAGTACCCTCTGGTAAACTAACATAACTATGGAAAATCACCATTTTTAATGGGAAAATCCATTATAAATGGCCATTTTCAATAGCTATGTTAAATTACCAGAGGGTATTGATGTCAAATGTAGGAAGAACTAGGCTGAACCATCCGTATATTTTGCCGGAACTGCTTCGAGTGGGGAAATCTACAGGAAGCCATAGAACGAGCTGCACAAAAAACTAGTGGGGGTCGCAACAGCCATGGGCTAAACCTGGCTGAACTTTGAAAAGCTTATCAATGGTTACCCTCTGGTAAACCAACATAGCTATTGAAAATGGCTATTTGTAGTGGATTTACCCATTGAAAATGATGATTTTCCATAGTTATGTTAGTTTACCAGAGGGTATCAATGGTTATCATAGTATACTATGGGTATACTATGGGTATTTGGACAATCTATCCAAATATTGGTTTGTCTGAAAATAGGGTGCCCCTAAATCATAGATGCATTGGTTGATCCGGTTAATCATGAAAATTATCTCTATTTGAGTTGCAAGTTGCAACTTTCAAGAATTTCAGATATCTAAAAAGGGCATACCTTAGCTAAGGCATACCCCATTTTCAGACCAAACCCACATATATGCGAGCAAAGTGTGTATAGTACATACGTGATACATGCAACACGAACACCCACCGCACTGTCAACTGGCAGGCACGTGCCACCAATTTTGGTGGACCAGTTCCCCTTGCTCCAGGGTGCCAAGTTCGCGAAAATGGCTTGCGTCAACGTACCAGGGGCTTTATTCGGGTCGGATGTTCCGGAATGCCTGAGTGTGAATGCATTGACAGTGACACCTCGACTTATCCACTACATTATTCCATGTCCTATCCTATCCATGGTGATATGATTGTATTGGTTGTTTATATATCCATGTGTTTTCATTGTTATGATTATTGTTTTTTATTTCATTTGCATCTGCGTCCCATACAAATATATGCATGTGAGCCACAACAAAAACTCTGGCAATATACTAAACATGTAGGTGACGGACATCGATTTCTGGACATTGTAAAAACAAGAGGTAAGCGATGGGACCTTTCCAAATGGCGATGCCCCCTGGAAATGTGTCATAGCTGTGCACGTACGTAATTATCCTTTAAGTTTTCTTCCGGCTTAGGCTTAAAGCCCTTTAAGCGATACCCCCGAAGTTTGCCATACCTCATCTGTTTGGTGGTTTGGAACATTTTTTATTTTATATTGGGAATAATCATCCCAACTGACTTTCATATTTTTCAGAGGGGTAGGTATACCACCAACCAGTCATATGTTTCGTGTAAACGTGTGGTTTTTCAGCGATGGGACCTTCCATTTTTTTCTGGATGTGCTTCCCGTGAACCTGGAGTTTCCATGGGTTTCCGAGATTGCTCGGGGGTTTCCTGAAATGGAGATATCCCAAGCTCGCTGGATGGTTTATTTCATGGAAAATCCTATTCAAATGGATGATTTGGGGGTACCCCCATTTCAGGAAACCCCCATATATGACCACATGTCACATACACCCGTTTACAAACGTGCGACCCCTCATGCTTTATCGAAGAGTGTGGCTTCTGACTTGATACAGGAATTGGTTGCGCTGCATTGGCTGGTGATTCCCTTGTGATGTGATGATGATGATGATGATGATGATGATGATGCCGATGCCAACGACAAGGACGATGGTATAGTACATGTGATCTCTATATATTATATATGTGATATGTATGTGTGTGTCCAAATTTATCATATGTTGGAGTATATATGGATGATGGGTAAAGATCCATTAACAATGCTGCTGACACTGTAATGGATCCAATGTTCGCAAACCAAGCCTTACCACCATGAAACTGGTGGACGTGCCCTCCGGTACATCAACGTAGATATGGATAATTGGGAATTTCCACATGACGATATTTCAATGGTACAGGGGAAATTTCAAAGCATCCCCAGTTGTCCACACATATTATATGTAATATATGATAATATATGTATACATGTTGTATATTAATGTGCATTAAAACACAGGGGTGTTCCTGTTATGATCATTCACCTAGTGCCGGTCAATTTTTTCGATCAGGTCCAGTGGTAGACATACGTCACATTTCAATCATCGCCAGCGCCAGGCCAAGCCTTAGCGCCCATCTCTAGGTTGATGGCCCGGGTGTGGGGCAATAGCGACGCCAACTGCAAGGACCGCTACCACCTGGGGATTGGATGATGACCTCTGTGTTAAAAGGTCATCTAACACAAAAAAAACTATGGAAAAGCACCATTTCAATGGGGAAATGTGAAATAATCATCTAATAAACTACATAGCCATCTTCCATAGCTATGTGAGTTTGCTGTAGCGTTTTTCTATTCGGGGTGAGTTTACACTTGTCCAAAAGCTCCAAAAAGCGTTCGCTGGCGAAGGAGGCGAAGGTGGCCTTGAAGCCAAAACCTGAGCCTAGCGAAGAACCCGAGAAGCGTCGGATGAAGGCGCTTTTTTCGCGTTGGTTTTTTGGGGGCTGGAACGATTTGTTCATTGAATTCCTCCAGAAAACCCCGTGGGGCCCCCATGATTTTCCAATGAATGGGCACTAGTTGCAGTGCAGATTCGATATGAACATCAACCCTTGGGATTTTGGTCAACGTTGCGGTGTTGTTTGAGCCACTGAGATTTTGATGTAGTGGACTAAGCTAGAAAAAAGTGGCCGACAAATTCCGGCCCTCAGATTTTGGATGCGGATTTGGTGGATCTGCTTCTTCAAATTTGTTTGGTGCGGCTTTGTATGTGAAACCATGACATGGTTATTTACAATCATGGTTATATTTGACATCATTTAACCATTCGGACTCGTTGGTTTGAATTCCAGAGCCAAACTATGAGTGAAGCATTAGTTGGTAATCCCATCACCCTGTTATTCAACACCCCAATGGATCCCAAAATCAATATATCATTCAATAAACCGGGGGTTCGTTTGGCTGAAACAATTACCCTTATGCTCCATGTATGGTATGTTTATCTACATTTGGGTGATTTTTAGAGCAAATGTTGGTAAATTTTCCAATATATGGAGCAAATGGATTATGATGAAGGTCAGCAGAGGATGGGCCCCCCCAGTTATAAGTTGGTTTATAACCCCATCTAAATATAGCTATAATAGCTATAAGTATCATACACTATTGTTATTGTAGTTATAAAATGTTATGTGCACCAACTTAGCTAGCTATAGGGCCCCATCCTGCAGAGGCTACCTCCTCCTTTCTGAAACAACCCGGCTTTGCAAAATCACAGGAGGTGAAGATCGACTCCACCACCAACATTCCTAGTGACCTCTATTGGCAACTTGGCCAGGGGAGACTCTGATCTGTGACATATCTGCATATATATATATATATACATATATATATATATGTATGAATGTACGATATATATATATATATATTTGTGTGAAATAGTATTAGTGTTAAATCATAGGTGCATATCAGTTTATGATATTATTCAATATTATTCATATCTGCATGTGCTCATTTTCATCATTCTATAGTTTGTAGCTACTGTATGACTCGTAGGCAACACAAACTCCCGGCCTTGGTGGGTGATTTTTTGTGGACCGTTGGCATCCGGTGCATTCTATGATTCCCCAATATATGTATAATTCGTACAATAAACAGATGAATACATATGAATAATAATACATACATAGATAAATAGGAATTAATTATAATTAATAATAATCAATAATGATTAATAATAACAAATGATAATGATAATAATAATATTAGGCATATAAATACTGCAAAATATATAATATAGACTACCATTCTAACGGGACATATCCATATATTTGAGGGACCGGTTTCTCAATGTTTGCTTCATCAAATCCCAAGTTATGGTGGCTGAACATCCGCATGTTTGGTGGGTTACCTCCAATGTACCAAGTCAAACCTCCCATAAATTGGTGTTTTTGTTGCTGAGTATTTGATCTGGAGATTATATAAATCTATATAATGTCCTATTTTGCCAGGTGAAATCTCCTTTTTTTGTTTTTTGCCAGGTCAGACCTATACCATATTTGCAGAGTATTTTGATCCATTCTGGTGAACTTTCTCTGCTGTCAGCTGATCAGCTCCGAAAAAAAGGAACCTTCTCCGCGCCGGGGAACGTGCCAAGAACGGAGGGCAACACCGCTTGAAGGATGGCACCCGAGTCGCGGGTTGTCAGTTTTAATGGTAAACTGGTGGTTGATTCAACATAGCCATGGTATAGATGTCCCATTTATAGATGGTTTACCGTTCTTAAACATGGTAATATTAGTGGGAAATCTATGGAAATATCATTTATCCACTAGAAATGGAGGTTTTATATGGTTTTATATGGGAAAATCATGGGAATATTAGTGGGATATACCCTCTGGTTATTTAACATAGCCATGGAATAGATGACCCTAATCGAAATAGATGGTTTACCGTTCTTAATGCCATGGTGGATCTGTCCATGGCGAACTGTTAGTAACCAGATGGTAACCAAAATAGTAGTATAATATGCTACGGCAAAATGATGTATTTTGAGGACGGGAACACCTTGAACATTGAGATGGTCCATCTGAATGAATTTGATGACCGAACCCGACATAACAGAGGAATGATGGTTGTAGGGTGGGTTATTAGCCCTGTTGGGGGAGGTAGTTTAGAAACAGAAATGATTGTTGGGCCGATTGTTGGGCATGGGTAAGTTTACAATTACCCTCTGGTAAACTAACATAACTATGGAAAATCACCATTTCTAATGGGATATGTATATCAACTATAAATGGTCATTTTCAATAGCTATGTTAGTCATTATCAGAGTGTAATATATAATTATGTGACTGTTTGAAAACGAAAGATCAGCGACGGAAGATCGTTGGGGAAGAGAACATCCAGCTGTTCTAGCTATGTTGATGTGAACAGAAGGGGTACGAAGGTTTGGGCTCGTACCTTCCTATAGATTTTGGTTTATGTCCGTCTAACCTTCAAAGGTTGTTCATTTCCGGGACGTTTTTTTTTTTTGGGGGGGGGTTATATACCTTGTATATTTTGATATGATACATAGATGATGAAGTAGAAGTAGTCAGTAGTCCAAAAAAAAACTGGGGAATCCAAAAAGTCCCTCCCAGTGGTGAGTGCAGTAGGAACAATTGTGGCTATTATGTGGGTAAAAACAAAGCAGAAATTAGCGCGAAGACAACGCAGTTCGACACCAAGTGTTGCTAGTTACATCCGAAGTACAACAAGCAACCTCATTTGTTCTATATAATCGGTGCAAACTGTTTCTCTTCGTTCTTTCGTGATCGTAGACGCCCCATGTTGCTGACAGAATTCAGCTGCGTACAAAGAAAAACATGTGGAAAAACAGCAACAACACATACCAGCAAACTGATTCCAGTATATTCCAGTACCACAGTTTTTTTTCTTCATATTTGGAGCTTTCCTAAAATGAAGGTATCCCAAATCATCCATTTTAATGGGAATTTCCCTAATAAACCATCCATTTTTGGGATATTAATGGAAACCCCCATGTCACTGGTTGATCCATTGTGGAGAGCTATAATATATAGATATATATATATATGCGGTAACGACATTTAAATATGTGGAGGGCGGGCCAGACCGCGACGCCCCGAAGGTAGTATGAAATACCAGTTCGTATATTTAAATGTAGTTACCGTAACGTTTAAATTAATTGGATTCCGTATGTTTAAATGACCGGGCGGGCCAAGGAAAACTTTCCCGGAGGTAGTCTAAAATACCTGTTCGTATATTTAAAAGTCCGTATATTTAAATGTAGTTGCCGTGTGTATATATATATTTATATTCCACAATTCAATGCTGGTTAAATGATAGTTTCATATAGTTTAATGGTTTCATTAATGGACATACCCATTATAATTATCCATTTATAGATGGTTTTTCCATTATACCCTCTGGTGAACTAACAAAAAGCAATTGAAAATGGCCATAGAAATAATGGATTTTCCCATTAATAGCATGGTGATTTTCCATTGCTATGTTAGTTCACCAGAGGGTAAACCAACCATTTGGGGGTTACCCATGGTTACCCCCATATTTCTCTCATGGCTTCACCCAGGAGCGTCGAGGACCCCCTCATTCCCCGCGGCCTCACCTGGTGCGGAGTTGACCCCGCCCGCGGCACCGGTGCCGATGCCGGGACATCGTTTTGTAGCACCAGAGAATCAGAAATAACATGAAATAACTATGTTTTTTTACACTGACTGAATTCATCTGACACACACACACACGCGCACACATAATGTGACACATAATATAATATGATATAATATAAGATAATATAAGATAATAATATATATATACTATTAATGACTATATCTAGGAATTTAATTTATTGTAGTAATATATAACAATATAAAATAAAATGTAATACAATTATATGATACATGCAATATAATATAAGAAAAGTTAATTTAGCACATAATATGATATAAGATCATATCATATCATTTAATATATGTTAATAAAGAATATAGAATATATATATATATAATATCATACGTATGATGGTTGGCGGTTTCCCATATTTTATACGGTATGTCCATGTATATCCACTGTTTTCGGGGATGATTGTCCAAATTGAGTCTATTGAAGCTCCGCAACTGACAGTAGCACTGGTGCAGTGTTGCTGGGGTCATCGCGGTTGATCGACCTACGGATCGTTTCGTTCCAAGTGCTGGTGTCGAGGCTTCACAAAGCTTTCCAAGTGCTAGAAATTTCTGAAATTTCAAGCATGTCGGGAGGATTTTGAGGGTAAGAACATGGGTTTTCGCAAGTGTCTATAATGCGGTTTGGGGATAATGAAGACTCTCATTCGACTGTATTCTTGTGCCAGTTTGAACCACCAATAAGCTCGTTGTCCAAGTAGAAGCGATGGGTAAAACCAACATAATTTGACTGACTGGTGAACGATAGTTTCACGTTTTGTTTTCCATTAAGATTTGTACTGCCACGCCAAAAAGCGATGCCGATTGGCAGGGCCTCTGAGATAGAATGACGAGAACATATATGAGCAGTGGCTGCTACCCCGCTACCCCCCTTGTTGGTTGACATTATATGGGGTTATACTACCTGGTTATACTATAGGGTTATGTTTATTGATGTTTATTGGGGATTCTTACTACCTAGACCCTCGATAATTACTTCCAATATTGTAAAAGTACTAAAATCAATGGGGTAACTTCCACCATTTTGATCGGGACAGTCCTGGAGGCGAAACAACGGTCTTGGGAAAGGCCACTCAGCCATGATTGCCAACCAGATTCGTGGGAAGATCATCTCTGCAGGGGATTGGCAAGCGTCCATCCCCGTTGCACGCAGCAGCAGACACGGGCACCCGCGTGCCCGTTGAAAGCCATGCTTCCCTGGTGCCCAAAATATCCCCAAGGTTGAATGGCTCTTGTTTCAGCTTGTGAGAAGTTTATGCATCAGCCTCCATTCTGAAGCTTATTCATGGTTGTAGCTGATTTCAGTTGTGGATTTGGACGATTTTATAGGCATTTGAAATGTACACCTGCCCAACATCCAAA